GCCAAGCCCATGGGCCAAGCCCGAGCTCTCGGGAAAGGGTATTTCCTGTCCCCTCCTCAGAGTTATAGTGTCCCTCAGAAAACGGAGCAGCCCCCTTTGTCAGCTACACTGGGCAGGAGAGGGAGGAATGCACACCAGGGGTCTCTTTCCTTATGCTGCTCTGGACAGCAGAGCCTGAGGTGTGCTGGAGGGAGCCCCACAGAACAGCTGATAGTCAGCCTGTCCCAGACCTTGATAACGGCAGCTCCAAACCAGATTCAATGTAATTTAAAAAATAAAGACAGGAGACATTTCTTGAGCCTCATTGTTGTGGCAGAGACTATAGCTGGCACCCCTCCTATTTTGTAGGAGAGGCTTGAAACAACAGCCGTCCAGAACAAAGGCCTTATTTCCCAGAATTGTACAGTTACATAGGAGCAGAATTTCCATGTCCTGCCCTTAAGGAAAGGCGCATGAGGACAGGAATTTATTCTCACTCAGCTCTGCTCTGTTCAGCCCCAGGGGCCTATGTTCCTTCTGTCACTAGGGCATTGCCTTTACCTGGAGGCCCGGGGACGGCTCCCCACTATGTCTGCGTTCCGGTGGTTGCCAGAGCTTGGGGGGGGGGTAAGGTGATTGTAAAGGACAGCAGAAGGGCATTTATTGGGGTGATGGGTCTGTTCTGTATCTTGATTATGGTGGGGGTTACACGAATCTATACAAGTGTTAAAATTCATAGACCTAGATGCCAAAAGGGGAAAAGAACCATTGGACTGCATGCGTTCAAGAATGAAATTAATAGACATATATGTATATGTGCATATGTATGGGTATGTGTATATACATACACATAGTATTTAGTTGTGTGCCTGATGCACATAAAGTACTCCAGTACATTGCTACTCAATGTATGGTCCACAGACCAGCAGCCACCATTACTGTCAGGGTCCATGATGAGATAGGACCTTGTGCTAGATGATCAGTCAGCTACTTTGTTAAGCACATGCTTTAGGCTGTAGCTGACTTTTCTTTTTTGTAGTAAGACTTTCTCAGTAAAGTTACCAGTGTGTTGATTTATGTGATGGTGCAAGCTCCCTTTGGAGAAGCAGATGGGCTCTTGGAGTAGCACTGCTCTAGAAAGTGTAGCTATGATAATCTCCATGTTATTTACATAAGAGCATTGTAGCAATGGTCCCTGAAGGCAGAGACAATGGCATTGATCTCTGGGTGGCCAGTGCCAGGCACAGGACCTGGCCGGCAGACAGGAGATGTCAACTCAGGTTTGTTGGAGAAGCAAACAAGAGCCTAAAAGGAGAAAGACTTGTGCACATAGCTCATCCACTCATTCAACTGACGAACATTTGCTGAGGGGCAGACAGATCACCAATGTACTCCCATGCAAGGCATGCTGACATGCCAGCTGAATAGTGGCCCAAGAAAAGAGTTCTGTCCAAAGACCAAAGGGGTGACAACCTGTTGGAGCATGCATCTTTCCTTGATCCTAGGCATTTTTCCTTTTTCTGTATTCACCCCCAGAATGAGTCCTTCTCTCCAAGGCAAAAATAGTCTGCTGCCCTGCTGCCCTTTGTTTTAAATCCGGAGCCCCTTGTCCTGCTTAAGGAAAGTCAGAAAAAAACCTGGCCCATGGAAAGGCAAAGAGGTGAATGAAACAGAGGGGGAAACTTGAGACCACAGTACAACAGCTAGCACGCTGACCCCAGTGCTGCCCTTGGTAAGCTGGGTGGCCTCTGGCAGGTGTCCCTGTCTATGGCCTCTGTTTCCCCAGCTGCCCAGCAGACGACCTTGGCTCTCAGACTCCCTCACCTCCACCCCTCCTGCCTGACCTTTTTCCTTCGAGCTGGAATTGCCACTCATTAATTTCACCCTTTTCATCCTTTTCCTGCCCTAGATCTGCAGCTCTGAGTACGTTGTTCCTGGGCCAAAGGCCAACGAGCTTTGACCACAGAGAAAAGCATGTGTCCCTGCTGATAGGAAATCCAGAAGCTGAATACCTGGCCTCAACCTCCCCTCCCTTCTTGAGTTCTCTTGGTACCCTTGGCACAGCCCACAGTTCCCCCCTGGCAATGAAGTCCGTCATCTCTACCATCACAGACCTTCTGGCAGATTGCAGCAGCTCTATTATTTCAATGTATAATTTATATGGCCCAGTTCCACTGCCAAGCACAGCCCACAAAGCACACCTGATCCTGCACAAGGAAACCACAAGCTCTGCTCTCTGAGCCGTGTGTGCTCTTCACCTACAGCCACACACAACTTTTCCCAAGTCTTCCACTTTACTGGGGCACCTCACTAGGCCAGGGACAATGGGACCTCAGAATAATAGGACAGTCACCACAATTTCAAGGCTGCTCTCAAGGCAGGGGCATGGGTGACATTAAACACGTAGGATGGTTTGCAGCCTCTGCAGAGCTGTACCTGCCCAGGGGGAGTCCACGACTTTATGCAGCTCCATCTTAGAGTCATGCAGCATGGCGAACCAGGCATCAGGTTCCTAAGCAAGAACCTAGGTTCCAATTCCTAGATGCTGCCTGCTACCCGAACATGCCATGCCAGCTCTGGACTTCAGCCTCCTCCCCTGTAAAATATAAATGCACTCACTCCTGCCCTGCCAGCCTCACCGGGTTGTGACAAGGATCTAGAGGAGTAACACAGGCAGAGGTTGGTTGTAAGACACTCTACTCAGGCTACTCAAAGTGTGGTCCATGGACCAGCAGCAGCAGCAGCACCTGGGAGCTTGTTAGAAACGCAGGATTCCAGGCCCCTCTCCAGACCTGCTGAGCAGAATCTGATTTTTACCAACCCCCCCTACTTCCCCCCCACCCCCACACCCAGGCAATATATGTGTCTGCCATACGCAAACACAAGCATGCTGCGGTTCAGAGCCTAGAGCTTTTAATTCAAATTCAGCTCTGACCCTAACTGCCTTCGTGGCCTTGGGAAAGCTGCTGGCTGGTGCCTCGTTTCCTCAACGAGAAAAGAAGGTCACACTGCACAAGAATATGGGATGACAAAGAGAGAAAGCAGAGGGCAGAGTGGCAGGGACACATTTCTGTTGGGTTGAAAGGAAAGTCAGGGATGAGGGAGTGACTCTAGCTGGATGGGAAATGGAGAAGATAAGATGATGGAGATGAGCAGGAAATAGATCAGTGCTTCCTTCCACCTGTCCTGTGTCACCTCCACCCCATTCCTCTCCAGTCACCAAAGCCTCTTGACATGGACTCTCAAGTTAGCTATTGCCCAAAGGCAGCTGAAGAGCAGACAGCTCCCACTTGCTGTCAGATAGCCAAAGGAGACAACCACTGCAGATGGCAGGAGCAGGCCCAGGGTTCAGGGCTACACAAGTTCCCAGTTCCTCTAAGAGGGCTGGAGGTTTCTCAGCCTGCCCCAGGCCTCAGAGCATCCCATATGTGGTACCTGGAGACCCAGGACTAAGGTCAGCAAGTGAATGGGGGGAACCACAGAGCAGCCCCACCCTCCTTGCAAAAGAGGCAGCTAAGGTGTCTTGCAGGCTGCCTTGGAGTGACATTCCTATAACACTGGATTTTTCAATTGAGCAAGCTTCTTGATACGATTTAAAGGTGAGGGTACTTGACCTGTGTTTCAAAATTTTCCAGCAATGCTGGGAAGTAGGCTGTATTGCACTCAACCAAATTCCATTCAAGTAATTACCCAGGGAGAGAAGTATAATTGCACAGATGCAAGTGCTCCATTTTGTGGGGTTAAAAATACCAACTTCCAGAGCTGTGGTGATCATTAAATGAGATAACTGTGGACCGCTCCTGGCACAGGCTCCTTGCTAGTCTCTTCTGCGAAGTCTTGCAGATGAATTGAGAGCTTTGCTCTGACCCAGAGGCCTCCGCCTTGGCCTCGGCCCTGGCAGCTGCATTCTAATGGCTCTGCTAATCGATATTTCAAGTCCATGGTGATGGAGTCCCAGGCCCTGATCCTAAAAGCCCCAATTCATGGTTGGTAGTGTTTTTGCATTAAAAAAAAAATCCCCTCTACTTTTTTTTTCAGCTACAACAAGCACCATTGCTCTCTGTGCTTTCTGCAGCTAAACAGATGCCTTGAGGAAATCAAGTTAAAGAAATCCTCACAGACAGTAGTTTTAAATGCTTCTGGGTGCAGATTCCAAACCTGGAGAATATACAGGTCAGCATGTGGAATACACTGGACAGGTACATACTGAGCACTGACGGGTGTGGGGGTTTGAATTATTAGCCCCCAGTCTTCGACCCCTCCCTGTCTCCACATCCTTGCCATGGCCTCATTTTGGGCTCAGTAATTCCACACTCTTTGATTTTGGGCTTGACCTTGTGGCTTGCTTTGGCCAATGGAATGGAATAGAAGTGACAGCATGTCACTTTCAAGCCTAGGCCTTAAGACACCTTATGTGATTCTACCCTTGCCATAAAAGAACTTTCCCAGGGTAGCTGCTGTCCCATCGTCTTGCTGGACTCTAGAATGAACGCATGTAGAGCACAGCCACCCCACACAGGCCATCAGTGAAGGTCAAAGCTGCTGTAGCTGCCACAGCTTGAAGCAGAGCCACCCGGCCAAGCCCAGCCTAGATCACCAGAACTGCCCAAGCCTACCTGCAGAGCCACAGGGGGGAAAAAAAATGATTGGGCCGGCCGAGTGGCTCAGTTGGTTAAGAGCTCGCTCAAGAGTTTGAGCTCTGAGCAACAGCGGTTCGATGCCCGGCCCAAGCTGAGCAGCCGTTGAGCTGCCAACAGGTGGCAGGATGGCTCAGCTTAAAAAGAAAAAAAAATGATTGCTGTTTTAAGCCACTGTGTTTGAGGACAGTTTAATAGGTGGCATTATTGTGGCCATAGAGAACCAATGCATTATGCAGTAGAACAGAAAAAAATAAAATGGGAGGAAAAGAAATGGGGAGGGAGAAAAGAGCAGGAAAGAGGGAGGTGAGAGCTCATTGAGGATAAATACAGGCCTGGCCTGTTCCATGTTCTCAACTACAGGCACACATAGTGATAACGCACCTTGGTGTCACACAGCCCGGTCACCCTGGGAACAATCCTGGGAGCCAAGGTAAGGCCAAGCGCAGTAGGAGTGCGGTTCACAGGGATACAGGAAAGCAGCTTGATATAAGACCCATTAACCTGGGGACAAAAGTGACATGTAGAAAATATTTGCTAAATGAATAAATGAACTCCACTTTCATACAGGCTCCATTAGCCCTGCTTTGGGACCATGAAAGTTCATCTCACAGACCAGTAGACTCTAATTCTCCAAGATGGCAAGGAACAAACCAAGAGAATCTTAAAATAAGCCACTGCCCTCCCACACAAAGGGGATGGAGGTAGCTTATTCCGAGAGACACAAGCCTGGACTCAGTGAGCATCAAAGGAAAAGACTGATGCTGGGGAAGGAAAGCCTTTCAAGCCGGGGCCTGGAGCCCAGGTCTGCTCGCCTGTGGGCTGGATCTGCCCCAGGGTGGGCTGACCATGCCTGGTGGTTCTTGTGGACGCTCATGCTCTCTTAATGTAAGACTGTCCAGAGACTTGGCTTGTCTTCAGAATCCAAAATATCTGGCCCTAGTGAACCCCACAGGAGAGCATCTCTGATCTGTCCCCTCCATACCTCAGGACGGGGGCTCTCTGGGTTGCCCCCCTTCTCCCCAGCTTCTGCTCTCATTTATTGTGGCATTTGAACTGCAGTTTTTCTTATATTAAAACACTACTTCTCAATATGCATGTCTCTATCAAAAGTAGGACAATGACAGATGTACTGTGAGGACGCTGTGTGTCACTGACACAGGAGAGGGGACTGACATTGTGAATACAAGGAGAGCTCCTGATTGTTCAATATGCAAAGACCTGAGTGGTCCCTGATCTGCCCAGATGGGAGCCCTGCAGTCTAGACCCACTGCACACTACCCGTCCCCCATGGCCCCCCAGTTCCCATTTGGCTACTGAGGAAGGTCTGGGCAGGAGAGGGGGGGTCTCTCCTTCCAAGCAAGAGGAGACCAGCCTGACCCATCTTTCAGCTTCCGGTCTCATGGGAGAAGAAAGACAGAAACTCCTAAAAGAGAACAAATCAAATGGGCAAAAACCTGGAGATATCAAGTGGCCAGTACTCAAGCCCAGCCTGTGTGGGGGTGAGGCACCATTCTTCCCACAAGTACACCCTAATCACTGCTAAGGACCCAGACCTGCACCCTCCAGGGGCTGTTACCCCCCAGCCCTGAGGAAGCTTTCACAGTTGCAGAGTCTCCAGTGGACCCCCCAAGGCTCCCAAATGAATGCCAGTGTCTAACCGTTACCTTTAAAACATGTCGTAGGATCATAACACACACTCAAATTGTTCCCTCCAATTGTTCCTCATCTAAGTCAGAACAAGCCAAAGTCCTCTCAAGTGACCACAAGGCCCTATGCCTCTACCCCCACCAATACACACAGAGCCCACCGGTACCTCGCTCAGCCCTCACTCACGCCTCCAGTCTCACTCACACTCGCTTCCTCAGTGATCGGCAAACACCTCCTGCCTCAGGACCTTTGTCCTTACCCATCTCTCTTGCAGTGCTCTTCCACAAACTGCTACATGGTTCCTTCTGCTTCTTCGGTTCCTTTAGGCCTTTGCTCAAGGGCCACCTTAGCAGAGAATTCTGTCTTGACCTCACTGTCTACAGGAGCAGCCCCCACTCCAACATCCACTGCCCCTCTTACTCCGGTTCACTTTTCTTCATCGCTTCAACACCATCTGACATGCTATGTACTTGCGTGTTGGTTTCTTCGCTGTTCATCTCCCCCGCATGAGAGCAAAATTTCCTTTTTGTTCACTGCTCTGTTCCCACGTTCTATCGCAGCGTTTGACATGTAGAAATGGTCAGAAATTTCCAGGGAAAGAACCGGGGTTGGTCCAGATTTGCCAACTCCCATCCCTGGTTCTGTCGAGGTGGCGCGGGATGTTAGGTCATGTTCACAAGCCTGGATTCCAGAAGCTCAACCTGTGAGTGGGGAAGAAACAGCATTTAATGGCATGGATGAGAGTTGGGGAGACATCCTAAAAACAAGTGACTGGAAAACCTCTTCCGATGTGAGATCTCTGCTCGCTCAGTACAGAAGTTTGCTCCAAGAAAGGGAGCTACCCTGGCAGGACTTTCATTTGAGATTCGTGACAAACTTGCTCCAGCCCTCAAAACAAATCTCTGTCCCAACCAAGCTGAGCGCTGTATGTGTGCTGTTATCCAGCTCACCTGCAACTGTGCTTCAGTTTGAGATATTGCCACAAGGGGGCGCTCACAACCAGGAATAGAATACTACCAAAATCCGGCTCTGAAAATTCCACTGGAGTGGGCCCACCCAGCTTAGGTGTGGGTAGTCTGTGAGGCTGACAAAGACTCTGAGAGGGTAGGACCCGGGATCGCAGCATTCTTGGCCTGCCGCCCAGGCTGACCTAAATTTATTTAATATTTAAATCTATGTTTTTCTATTTCTTCTTGGGTTAGCTTTCTAATTTCTCAAGGAATGTCCGTTTTACTTATATTGTCAAATTCACAGGCGAAAAGTTGCATATAGCATTTCCTTATTATCCTTTTAATGTTGTGATAACTACTCTTTTATTCTTGATGATAGTGATTTTTCTCTCTCTCTCATTTCTTTCCTTGATGAAGGAAAACTGGAAAACTCTAGCTAAGGTTTTAAATAGTGTTATTAAAATAAAAATTGGGACTGTTCTTTTTTCCCATTGTTTGTTTTTTATTTCACTAATTTCTGCTCTTATTTCTATTTCTTTTCTTCCACTTACTTTGAATTTAATTTGCTCTTCCTAATTTGGAAACAGCTAATGTATTATATATCTTTCTTTTCTTCTAATATAAACATTTAAAGCTGCACACAAAAAAATTTCTATGTGCTGATTTACTCACATCCCATGCATTTTGGTGTTTTAGCTTCATTCAATTCAAAATGTTTTTTTAATTTCTCTTGTGATTTTTTAATTTGTCTCATGGATTATTGAGAAGTATGTTACTCAATTCCCATATATTTAAGAAGTTTCTAGGTATCTTATTGTTATTGATTACTAATTTAAAACCTCTGTGGTCAGATAATGTACTCTGTATGTTTTCAATCTTTTAAAATTTATGAAATTTGCTTTATGGCCCAGTATGTGGTCTATCTTGGTGAATCGTCTATATGCTTTTTTATATGGCCTGAAAAAAATCCCTGCTTTTTATATGAAGTATTTAGTTCATTGATATTTAAATAATTATCAGTACGGTTGGGTTTGAAACTACCACCTTGGTTTAGTTTTTCTTTTGCCCATATATTCATTTTTCCTCCACTCATCCTTCCCTGTCTTATTTTGGGTAAATTAAGTATCATTTAGTATGCCATTGAGTTAATCAATTAACTTTTTAGCAAAGCCTTTTTGTCTTGTTTCTAATGTTTCTCCTAGAAACTGAAACATGAATTTTTAACTTATCACATTCTATTTTTAACTAATAGTATTCCACATCACAAACAATATCAGAAACTTATAATATGAAGTTCCCATTATCCCTCCCCTGCCCTTTGTGCTCTGCTCATACATTTCACTTCTGTCTCTGTTATAATCCCATGATACATTGTCATTATTTTCAATAGTTATTCATAAGATTACATTCATATGTGTGTGTGAAGATAATTCAACAGGTCTTTTATATTAACCCTCATATTGACCCTTTCTTATGTTCTTGGTTTCTTTCTGCTTATTCAGGCCTCTACCTGGCATTAGTTCCCTTCAACCTGAAGAAATTTCTTTAGAATTTCTTGAAGTATGCATATTCTAGCAAAAAGCACTCTAAGGTTTGGTTCATCTTAAAATGTATTTATTTCTCTTTCATTTTTGTAACATGTTTTCATTGGCTATAGAATTCTAGATTGATAAAGTTTTCTCTTTCAATACTTGTTTAAGTTGTCATTCTGTTATCTTCTTGTCACCATTGGTTTTTTTATTTCAAAAAATTGCTATTGATTTTGTTGTTATATAAATGTTTTTTTCTCTGGCTGCTTTTAATTTTTTATTTCATTATTTGATTGTCAGGAGTTTGACTACAATATGCCTTAGTGAATTATCCTATTTGGGGTTCACTGATCTTTCTGGATCAATGAGTTACTGTTTTTTGTCTTTATCAAATGTGTAAAATTTTTAGCCAATATTTTTTCAAATATTATTTTTCACATATTATTTCTCTTCTCACCAATTACATGTGTGTTTGGCTACTTGATACTATTTCACAAGCTATTGAAGCTCTGTTCATTTTTTCATATATTCTTTTCTATGCTTCAGTTGGATTATTTTATTGACCTTTCTGCAAATTAAATTCTCTTGTTGTGTCCAGTATGCAGTAATCCCATTCCATGAATTTATAATTTCATATATTGTACTTTTCAGTTTCATAATTTCTGTTTAAGCCTTCTTTAGAGCATCCAACTTCTCTCCTGAAATTTCCTGTCTCTTCAATCATTATATTTATACTTTCTTCTAGATTCTTTCATGTATTTACCAAAATTATTTTAAAGTATATTCCTGATAATTTCAATATATGGCTCATCTATGGAACTGTGTCCATTAACTGATTTTTTCCTTAACTACAGGTTAGACTTTCCTGCTTCTTTGTGTGTCTTGTAATTACTTTATTTGCTTGTTTGTTTGTTTGTAATGCTGGACATTGTATCTAAGAAGGGCTTATCTCTTTGGAGTTTAGGTATTTTATGTTTCTTTGTCCACAGCTCTTTGATGACTTTAAAGCAGGGGATACCCAACTGTAGCCCACAGTCCAAATCCAGCTCACAACGTATTTTTGTACAGATCATGAAATAAGAATGGCTTTTACCTTTTTGAAGGACCATGGAGGAGGAGGAGGAGGGGGAGGACGAGGAGGAGGAGGTAGAAGAGGAAAAAAAGAAAGAGAAGAAGAATACGCAACAGAGACATGTGTGACCTAAAGTGTTGACTCTGTCCCATAACAGAATATTTGTCAACACTGGCTTTAAAGAAACAATATATATTTTGTTTGTGTTTTTTATTTTTTTGTTTATCCATTGATTTCTTGGTTTTCAGCAATAACAAAGATCTTTCACATTCTTGTACATCTTAGCCAGAAGCAGAGCTCCTCATATTCTGGTTTTAATTTCTATTTCCCAATTCACAGTGAGTTTGTGCATCTTTTCACATATGTATTGGTTATTTGAATAGCCCCATTTTGTTGTTTCTTAAATCTTTTGCATATTTTCTACTAGATAGTTTGCCTTTTTATTGATTTGTAGGAGTAATTTATATATTCTGGATATCTGGCCTTTGTTAGTTATATTTGTGAAATACTTTTTGCCCCATTGTGTGCCTTGACTTTTCATTCTTCTTATGGTGACTTTGTTGAATAGAACTTCTTAATTTTAATGTATTCAAATTCATAATCTTTTCCCTTATGTTTAATTGCATTTTTGTATTTGGTTTAAGCATACAGTCTCTATTTGCAGATTCCCGAAACCTAGTTGGCACTACTCAGGGGAGACTAAGTAGTTGGCTGGTACGTATTTGAGTTTTAGGTTACCCTTAAAAACAGCTTTTATAAATAGTAAAGTCTATTTGTGGTTTGGGTTTATTAATTAACATTGAATTTTTTAAATAAAAAGCTTATATTGTAAAGTTTTCAGATTTAATTAAAACCTTAATATTCTATGTTTAAACCTAAGAGGATCTTTACAACCTAGTTAATCAAATCCCCTAAATATTTTAGATGGTACATATATTAACATAACCAATTTTATTTTATTAAGTTTCTATATATAATCAAAAAAATTTTTTTTTCTTTTAGCTGAGCCATCCTGCTACCTGTTGGCAGCTCAGCGGCAGCTCAGCTCAGGCCGGGCATTGGACTGCTGTTGCTCAGAGCTCAAACTCTTGAGCGAGCTCTTAACCAACGGAGCCACTCGGCCGGCCCTAATCAATTTTATTTTTAAACATTGCATTTGTTTCTAACAAGAAAATCCTTCCCATGAACATTGGTGAGTCTTATAATCTAATAAAATAAACTTATACAATTTTGAATTTTCAGTTTTCTTAAACACTATTGTTTACAAAATTAGTTTAAAAATAGAATATGTTTCATCTTTATAACCACAAGATTAAATCTCGTACTGAAGTACACAATTAAAATTGGAATCATGGGGTGGCCCAATGGCTCAGTTGGTTAGAATGAGTGCTCTGAGCAACAAGGTTGCTGGGTCCCGCATGAGATGGTGGGCTGCGCCCAACGCAAATAGATTGAAAATGGTGACTGGACTTGGAGCTGAGCTGCTCCCTCCACAACCAGATTGAAACAATGACTTGACTTGGAGCTGATGGGTCCTGGAGAAAGACATTGTTCCCCAATAATCCCCAATAAAAATATTTTTTAAAAAAAATTGGAATCATAACTTTAATCTGTCACATAGACCAAATTCTTATGCACAAGTAAAATATTCAAAATGCCAAATTATTCTTAAAACAAATGGTTTTATATCTTATTTTCTCTTTAAATAATAATCAACATTCCTAGGTTTTTTAAGTTAGCTTCTGAGATGGTAGTTTTTAACAGGGGTGACACTGCCCCCTAGGGGACATTTTCAAGATTTGATGATGATTTTAGCAGGCACAGTGATGGAGGGATGCTCGAGAATTTAGTATATAGGTGCCAGGGATGCCTGACCTCCTAAACTATGTAGGACATTCCCACACAACTAAAAGTTACCTTGTACTAATTTGAAAGGTCCCTTCATGTAAGTAAAAAACTCATAATTATCTGAGCCTAGAAATTTACCACATCTTACAAGTATTTTTTGCATAGCTTTGATATAGATTGAATTTTCCAGAAGCTTCATTTATCTTGAAAATCAAAGAGAAACTGTACCTTGATATGTCCTAAAATTAACTAAGAATTCTT